TTGTGTGTGTGTGTGTGTGTATTTTGTATTGCGACAGAGTCTCACCGAGTTGCTTGGCACCTCACCATTGCTAAGGCTGGCTTTAAACTCGTGATCCTCCTGTGTCAGCCTCCCCAGGAGCTGGGATTACAGGTGTGTGCCATGCGCCTGGCTCGGATTTAGTTTTCTGGCCATAGTGCAACTAAGCCAGGGGATCAGTAATGAAATGATAATTAGAAATTTCCGCAAACTTGAAAATTAAGGACCCACTTCTAAATCCACAGATCAAAGAAAGATCACAGATGTTAAAGTTCACAGTGAATGACAATGAAAAGACCACCCACGGTGCAGCTCAGCAGTGTTCAGGGGGAACTCGCTGGTGCCTGGAAGTAGCAAAGAAAAGTACAGCAGCACAGGAGCCAGAGACGGCAGAGGGCTGCTGCTGGCTCACCTCATCACCTCGATGTAGCCCTTGGCAGCGGCCACGTGCAGGGCGGAGGCCCCCGTGCGGGGATGCCGTGCCTCGGGCATGGCGCCCCCGTTCAGCCAGCACCTGGTGTCATGGAGCAGCAACTCCTCCTCGGCCCGCTTGGCTGCCTCCACATCCACACCTGGAGCACGATAAGGGGTAACAGGTGGGTCTGTGCATGGCCGCACTGCGGGCTGGCCACAGATCAGCAGGAAGGGCCAGCCCTGTGCACCCCCAGGGTCTCTGGCAGGCTGCTGAGCGCCTGGGCCTTCTCCCATCCCGCCAGGGAGCCGCCTTCACTCTTTGCGAAGGAAAACCCAGCGCTCATTGAGTAAACCCAGGCTTGGCGGGCACCCACCCTGCATCACCGCAACCCAACCTGAGATCTACCCCAGACCCGAGCACAGCGGGTAGGAGTGTGACACCAAGCAGATCACCACACTCTGAGCACGTGCCCCGCTGCTCACCACCCGCAACTGCACTGCCCACCAACAGATAGAGCAGACAGCTCCGCGGGCTGCTAATACAAGCACAGGCTCCCGAGGCCAGAACACTGAAAAGCTGGCTGCGTGTGGCTCCAGGCAGGCTCAAGGGGCCGTCTGCTGTCAAGAGCACCTCCGGAGATGGGAGGCGAACAGGTATCTTTCTAGGGACTATTTCTTCCCTGGGACGACTATCCTGGCCTATTGTGTGTGGTTGCAATGCTGGAGTGGAACCGAGGACCTCATTCACTAGCCACTGCTCTCCCACTGAGCCACATCGCAGCCCTCTTACCTTCCAATTGTGCAATTTTTGTTACCAAGATGCTGCACTGAGCCGATAGCCTCAGATAGCTACTGAGCCCTTGCAATGCAGCTAGTTTAAATGGAGATGTGTTGGAAGTGTAAAGTGCCTGCTGGATTTTGACATATGGGAAAAAGAAGGTAAGGTGACCACTCCATGAAGTTTTTCTTTTTTGCAGTACCAGGGATTGAACTTGGCACTCGACCACTAAGCCACATCCCCAGCCTTACTTTGTATTTTACTTAGAGACAGGGTCTCACTGAGATGCTTAGTGCCTCTCCATTGCTGAGGCTGGCTTTAAACTCACTATCCTCCTGCTTCAGCCTCCCAAGCTGTTGGGAGGTGTGCACCATCATACCCCGTGGCTCATGAAGTTTTTTTAAAAACTGATTACAATATGTAACAATATTTTGGGTATACTGAACTAAATAAGATTTCTTTATTTAGGCATTCGGGTTTGAGCCCAGGGGCATTTAACCACTGAGCCACATTTCCAGCTGTATGTATGTATTTTGTTACCAGGATTAAACCCAGAACACTTAACCACTGAGCCACATTCCCATCCTTTTTTATATTTAGATACTGGGTCTCACTAAGTACTAAAAATGGCTTTGAACTCACAATCCTCCTGCCCCAGCCTCCTGAGCCGCTGGGATTACGGGTGTGTGCCACTGTGCCCAGCTCTTTTTTTTTTTT